CAAGAGGTTCCAAAGGGGGGGGACCCCCACGTTCCCGGGGGACCACACAAGTGAGCGCCATGCACGCCCACGTGGCCGTGCGCTCGGGCCAGGGCGGCCACTGTTCCCCGACCCATCAACGGCCCACGGAACCCAATGTCCTGTCCTGTCCTGCCAGGGTGGCTCGGGGTTGAACTTCGACCTCTGCACCTGGAGGTCACGGTTGGGTTCCGGTCGGGGCACAGGCGGGGGTTGCGGGCTCCATTCCTACCGGGGGCGTGCAGGAGGCAGCCGATCCGTGACTCTCTAATCACTGATGTTTCTCTCCCTCTCCCTTCCTCTCTGAAACTAATAAGAAATATATTTTTAAAAAAAACCCAAAAACTACAATTAAAAAAAACACCACATCACAATAAGAAGCCCCATTTCCTTGGCCGAGACCCTGTGTAACCGGTGACGGTGAAGACGGACCCTCCCACCTCACACATCCGGGGCTGCAGAACCGGGGCCACCGGCCGCAGGGCGTCCTCGCCGTCCGCTCGGGGGGCGGCTCTCTCGTCCCTTCCCCAGGTCAGGGACGCCGCCTCGGCTCCGCGCCCTCAGTCTCGGAAAGCCGGGCACCGCTCGCCTTCCCCAAACGCGACGCAAAACCCGCTTCCAATTCTCCCGCCAAGCACCGTGACGTCACCACCCCGGGACACCCATAGCGCCGGCCCAGCGCTCCGCTCGCGCGGCCGACTCCGCCCGCCAATCAAACTCCTCATTGGTCGCGTGCCCCGAGGCCCCGCCCCGCGAGCCGCACGACGGAGATGTAGCGACGCGCTGCGCTACGGAGCGTCTAGGAGGCGCCCAGAAAGCCGTGTCGCGCGTCCTATGACGCGTCACAACCACGACTGTGAGACTCGGGAGACGAAAAGCGCTGGAGGACGCAGGCTCTGGCCTGCATTTTGGAGACTGAACGGAGTAAGTCCCGAGGGGACTCTGGGGCCACCGAGGGGCGCGGAGGTCCGTGCGCCCTGCCGTCTGTCTCCTTCGTGCCCCTTCCCCTTCCCCTTCTCCCTCCCCCTCCCGGCGAGCCCGTCAGTGCGCACGCGCGGAGTCGGCGCGGAGGGGCGGGGGCGGGGCACGCGGAAGTGACGCTGCGTCACGGCCTGGAGCTTGGGGCGCTAGGATAACGGGAGGGAGGACCCGTGTCTTCTAACCAAGTCCTTTTTGTCCTGGGGCCTGGGCCCTTGTCCCCGTGAGCGCGCGTGCGGGGCCGGGGGCCCTCGCGCAGGGGTTTGGG